GTTTTTCGTTTGTTCGTCTTATTAGTTTTCGTCTATCCCTTGACATCATCAACAACAACAACAACAACAAAATAACATAGCATCAATTTTGTTTGGATTTATATATCCATTTCGATGATGATGATGATGATATTGAGATCAGCAATTGCAAAATAGAAAAAAAAATTGATCAAGGATCAATCTATTGATCAACAACAACAAGACACCAAAAAAAAAACTGAAAATATTGCTGCAATCGAATGATTAGTGATCATCATCGGTTTTTCAAGAAATTGCGAATAAATAAAAGATTGCGAATATATTGGTTATGTTGGTTATTTTCAACAGGCACCATTTTTTTCAACTCTCATCAAATTTTCAATTCATTCATTCATTCATTTTCTCGTTCGTGTGTGTGTGTGTGTGTTTTTTTTGTTGTTGTTGTTGTTGTCCATCCAAAAATATGATGACAGTAACACCAAAATATACATTTGGAACACACACACACACAATCAAGCTTGGAATAGAAATAAATAAATCAAAAAATAGAATGATGGTGATGGTGATGGTGGTGGTGGTGGTGGAAAAACAATGTGAAAGAAGAAAACAAAATTAGAAATTTAGATCATCATCATCATCAGAGTCATGACATACAAACAAACAAACACAAACACACTGTTATGGTCGAAATCCCAGGTGTGTGTGTGTGTATGTTATAATGGCAAAACAAAACAAAACAAAACAAAAAGTTTTTGAAAATTTAGCACAAGTTTAAAAAAAAAATTGATTAGAAAAAAATTAAGTTGAAAATTTAAAAATAGAAAAACACAAAAAAGAATGACCACACACACACACACACGGTTTGTTGTCATTCGGAATTCAAACAACCAGAAAGAATGGAACAAAAAAAGGGAAAAGTGACATTTGTGGCTGTTAAAATAGCCACAAAATGGAAATAGAATCGAACGTTTTTTGTTTGTTTTCCGGTCATTTTATTTTCCATTATGGACGGCAATCGGCCAATCAGCTATAGAAAATAGTGCAACGCCCAATTGATCAAACAAACAAGATCGTATGATCCATAAATGTTTTTTTGATTCCGTTATTGCGCTACACAATATACAGAATTTTTATTTCCAGTACGCATTCTCAGATTCTTGATTTGTTTTTGTGTTTATGATTCTGGGGAATCTCAACCACAAAAAGAAACGTTATTGCATTTTGAATCCGGAAACATATTTTGTCAGTGAAATGACCAGATTTTGCTATATCGATCGATTTGATGAAATTGTGAACGAAACGGGGAACGAAAATCCATGAAAAGCTCATCGACCTGATCGTCATTTGTGTTTATATATTATTGACATTAAAAGTGAAAGAATCCAGAACCGAATGTTTAGAACTGATGCATTCAAATTCAGTTTTTGACATTAATTCCATTGATCGAATTTTTGTTTCGCAAATCAAAATAAATCCAAATATTTGTGAAATAAATCGATCCATCATATGCGAATAATTAGTCAACCCAAATCAATCAATCAATCAATCAATATCAGAAGTTTGAAGATGAAATTTTCTTTTCTTTTCTTTTTTTTGTTCATTTATTAATATATATCGATCATCAATATTAATATTTGAATAATTATATGGAAATCGATGAACCACAAACACAAAATGAAATGAAATGAAAAAAAAATCAATCTTGACCATCAAAAATAAAACAATCGATCAATCAATCAATGAAAATGAGATCAAATCACAAAATGTGTGATGTTTAGCTGTTTGGCCACCAAAATGATTAAAACAATCACTAAATGCCCCGTATATGTAATGTGATGTGATTTGAATAACAACAACAACAAAAAAATTTGACCGAAAAAAAATTATTGGTGTCATGATGATGTCCAGATCATTGTCATTCAAGATGAAATTTTTTTTTTTTTTTTTTTGAAAAATCCTCATTTGTAATAATCAATCAAAATCGATTATTATGATATAGGGATGGATAGATACACAAAGACCAATTTGTTCATCGACCCTTTTATCCATCCATCTATCTATCTACCTACATACCTACCTACCTACCTACGTAAGTACCTATCAGGCAAACTAACAAATCGGAAGAAAATCATTACCGAAAAGTGTGGAAATCAATGAACCAAACGAAATAAATAGATAAAAAACAACAAGGAAGCTATTTTCGGGTATTTTTTTTCTCTACAGTAATAGAAAAAAAAATTTTTGTTCTCAATATTCAATGATGATGATGATGATGATGTGATGGTCGATTGATCGATCGCTTGATCAATTGATGGCTGTTGTTGATAATCATCAACTATTTGATTAATGAGGCCAATTAGTTGTTGTTGTTGTTGTTGCTGTGTTGCTGTGAACACCAATAAATTCCAGCAAAAAAAAAATTATAAATTGAAATTCAAAGGAAATGAAGAAATTCACAGAAATAAAAAAAAAACATTTTTGATGTAATTCATCATTATATGGTGGTAATCCATTTTTTTCGTCATTCTTCCCATCATCGTCTTATTTGGTCATTATCATTATCATTTTTGATTAAAATGACCCGGCTTGATGATCCGGTGAACCCAATGATTATTTTTTTGCAGTGGTCAACCATTTGTTGTTCTCTCTTATCACAAACAAACCACAACAACAACAACAACAACAACAAAAATCTTTGGCTACCACATAATCACCATCACCAAAATAGTTGCTCCTGTTGATCATAATCGTGATTATCATCATCATCATCATCAAACAATGAACTCGTATATAAGCATCTCCAAAAAACGAAAAAACAACGATGAATGATAAAAAGACGAAGACGAAGAGAATCTCCTCATTTCAACCAGATCGAACTCTTTTTCTTCATTCATTCTCAAAAGATGAACTTTTCATTCGTTCGTTCGATCGTTGAATAAATGAAAAGGATGAATGAATATGATGAATATAAATAAAAAAAAAAAAAAAAATGAGGTCTATGACACAATAAATGTTCTGGTTTTTTCTTTTCTTGTTAGTCGTTTTTTTTATCAAAACAGAAAAAAATAGTTTCAAAAATAACATCGGTAAAAAATAAAAATTTCATGTCATCGAACACAAAAAACACCTCTCTCTCTGTGTGTGTGTGTATGCGATGGACGAATTAATCGATTAATCGATTCGAATGAATGAAAAAAATGTATCCTTCGTTCGTATTTTGAACGAAAGGAAAAAAATTTTATGATTTGTTTCATTTACCATGAACATTATCGTTTACAATTGAATTTCATTGGAAGTAGAAAAAAAAATGATAATGTAAATGTTTAGATGATGATGATGATGATGATGATGACGACGATGATCACCATTCAAGTACATTTTGGCGGCTGTTTTTTTTTGCATTTGTGTCTGTGTGTGTATAAGTGTTTGATGTCCTTCGACAATCGCCAAGATCAAGTTCAACTAAACAAATATATATTAAAAAATGATCATCATCAACAGTTGTTGTTGTTGTTGTGTTGTTGTTGTTGTTGTTGTTATTTCTCTCTCTCTTTTTTTTATCGCCAAACAAAAAACATCGTCAATGACAATCATCATTGACATTGTCGTGTAGCTATCATTTTCCCTTCTACACCCACCACCACAGCCACCACCATCGCAACACTTTTTTTTAATTCTTTCGAAACAAAATAATTTGTTGCCTTCTACAACAACAACGAAAACAAAAAAAAATTGCAATTTATCAACAACAACAAATGGTGGACCAACAAAAATTTAAATATTTTTTTCTTCGTCAGAAAAAAACAACAACAACAACAACAACAAAGAAAATCCAATCCAAGATCAAACAAATAAATTCGAATGAAATTTATCCAAAACACACACAGAGAGATCAAAGTCCATCCAAAATTATTATCACTAATTGTCAATAAACCAAAGAATTAAATTAGATCCTGATGGCAACAACAACAACAACAACAAGACAACAACGACAAATATTGCAACGCAATAATCTAAAAAAAAAATGAAAAGATTTTTGATTGCAACAAGTAGCTTGTGGTAACAAAGTTTTTTTTTTTGATTTATTTATTTGAGTGAGAACGAAAAAAAAAGAGAGAGAGAGAATGAAATATTGTCATTTTTTTTTGTTCAATGGTTCTGTATGATGATGATGATGATTATCGTCAATGTCATGGCCATGTGTGTGTGTGTGTGATTTGTTCATCACGCATTTATTTTTTTTTTTGCTTGAACAACAATCAATATCATTTGGTTGCAGCAAAAAAGCAGCCACAGCAGCTTTGCAATCAAACAACAAAATGAAAAGAAAAATTTTTTCAATGTCATTTTTTCATCATCATCATCAATTCTCAATGATCACATATTGATTCATTCACATTTGATGATAATATGACAGAAAACAAAAAAAAATTTTTTTTTTTGATATATTAGATATCGATATATCGTGTGAAATTTTCAAAAAGTAAAAAAAAACAATTCAATGACAAAACACACACACCTACTACACAATGATCAATGATCATTAATCATTGACCGGATATATATGAATAAATTTCAATTTCAAAATCATCATCATCATCATCAACTTACTAAATACGATGGTGTTTTTTTCGGCTGATGAACCAATTATTAGCCACTTGTGTAAGCAACCTGGATTTTATTTCACCACTCGATTCAATTCAGTCCAATTGGTCGTGATATAATAATAATAATGATATTATAATGAAAATCGAGAACACAGACAAAGAAACTGAAGATAAATAAACTTCGTTTTATTCGAATAAATTGTGTCATCAACAAACCAGAAAAGGGTGCTATTCACATACACCATTACACACATACATTCGAATATACTAAAATGATCTATTAATCATCATCATAATAATCTTTTTTGAAAAAACATTGAGACTATTTTTTATTCATAATAATAAAATGATGATGATGATTTTTCGTTTCCAAAATACATCAAACAAAAAAATTATTTTTTTTTTCTTCATTCAATCCCTATATAGGATGTTTTGATTTGAATACCCAAAGTAGAGTGATGATGATGATGATGGTGATAATGATGATGGTTAATCATAAGCTAATTTATCGAAAAATTCCGATCCATTCACCAATACATTATTCTTTGTACGTTTCATTTTGTCTAATGCCATTAAAAAATCTTTCATTTGTATTGGCCGTAAATTCAACATTAATTGATCAATATTTGTATGATCAATTTGATTTGAATATGAATGTGATAATTCTTTTATACGTATCATTGCCGATAATCGACATAATTCTTTTAGATCGGATCCACTAAATGTTTCACATTGTTTGGCCAATGATACTAGATCAACATCATGATCAAGTGATTCTTTTGATAATATTAGCTGTAATATTTTTTGCCGCTGTTCATTATTAGGTAAACTAATATGAAATGTAGCTGGCATTCGTCGCCGTATTGCATTATCAACATCATTTGGACGATTTGTTGCTCCCATAACAATAACCGAACAATTATTAGTGGAAATAAGACCATCCCAAAGTATCATAAATTGTGCTTTCATCATTGATGTTGCTTCATGATCATGTGTTTCACGTTTACGTAGAAATGAATCAATTTCATCAATAAATATGATACAAGGCTGTATTTTGATTGCCAAGGTAAAAACAGCGGCTGCCAATTTTTGTGATTCACCATACCATTTATCAGTCAATGCTGAGATGTCTAAATTGATAAATCTGTTCATTGTCATCATAGGAAGGAAAAAATGAAAATGTAAATGAGAAAATAAAAAAAAATTTCAATAATTAATTACACACTACAATACCTTGCACCAGCTTCTTTAGCTGTAGCTTTAGCAACCATTGTTTTTCCTACACCGGGTGGCCCATACAATAGAACACCTTTTGGTGGTTCATGTAATTTCGAATAAACGGTTAAATTCGGTACCTTCAATGGTAATATAACCGTTGTTTGTAATTCATCAATAATATCATCCAGACCGGCAATATCTTTCCAACTAATTTCCAATTCTTCAGGATTAACTAGTTGTGATGCTATTGTTAATTCATATTCTGAAAGTACATTTTTATATGCTGATATTCCAATTCTTTGTAATGTTTTTTCTGCCTGATAAAAAAACGAATGAATAGGTTAAACAAGGACAAGGACATATACAATGATATATAGAATATAATTACAATAATAATTTATTTTCACACTCACCTTTTCTTTGGCTTTTGATTTTTGTTTTCTTGTCGGATCAATGGCATTGATCATCCATTTAACGGTCAGATATGATGCAGCTGCAATCAAACCAACACGAAGGACGGCAATGGCCAATTCTCGTCGTAATGAATCATCCGACATTGATCTCGTGGTTAAGTTCAAAAATAAATATCGTAATTAGATTGTTCTACTATGAAGAATTCAACAGCAATTAATTACAAAGCATTAAATGAGCACGAAACAAACAAATGAAAATTATATAACAATTTCAATTTGCAAATTGAGCAAATGTGTTGATGATATTTATTGTATTCATGCGTTTCGAATGTTTGCATCATTTTTTTGAGTGTGTTTGTGTGTGTGTAAAAAAAATTTACAGTTTGTTCATAAATGACGTTACGAGAAAAAATTTTTTTTGAAAAAAAATCATCATTTATTCAATTTCAATTCAATAATAATTTATTCACAATACAATCAATAACATCTGGATCAAGTATTCGATCTACAATATCTTTAGATGTTAGATATTTTTGTCATTTTTACAATTTTTCTTTGTTTCGTCATTGCCAGTCGTGAAGATAAATGTTTGACATTGGTTTCATTCAAATATTCAACCTGAAGTTCGACTGGTTTTCGATATTTATGATGACAATCGTCTGCATGATGTTGTCCGATTAAATGATTCAATGTTTGTAATAATTCATTCGCCGGTAATGGATGAACATTCAAAGAATTTAACCATTTTTCATTGGAAAAACCAATCGATCGATGTAATGAATCAAATAATAATTGTGTAATACATTCTTGAATATGATCACGTCGATTAATAGTAGCAACCATATTATCATCATCATCATCAACAGTAGTAGTTGGCTTCAAGGATGTCGGATCAATCCATACATTAACCGAAATGGATACCTGATCATTATCTTCATTGTTATTACATTGATCTAAATTTTCAACATAATGCCACCAATGATGTGGAACATGTAATAGGTCACCTGGTTTAAGTTCAATTATATATGGCCTACATTGTTTAAATAATGGAAATTTGTTCAAATCAATATGTTTAAAATTTATTTGACTAAATATAGACGATTCTTCATATGGAATTCTGGTTGGATATAACACAGCGGCATCCGTTGGTGGAAAAAGAATCCATTGTTTTCTATGCAAAAAAAACGAAACCAAAATATTAGAAAAAAAATGATAATCAGTAAATCGTGATTGAAAATAAAGAAAAAATTTATGTCAGCCAAAAAAAAAAATCAGAGAGAGAAAGAGAAAAGGTCGACCATTTCACACAAAACACAACTTAATGTTTTGTTGTTATTATTATTTTCTTCACATTGAATGAATGAATGAAATGAAATGAAAAAGTTACCTTGAGCTACTAAATTTAATCCATTCTCACACAAACACACACACACATTGAAATTGATACAATTCTATCATTTTTTTGTTGTTGTTGTTGTTCTCTAATTTAATTCAATTCAAAGAAACATAAAAATCTAATGTCACAAATCATGAACATAAACACAAATGATGATGATAATGACAAGCTCTAATTCAAATTCGAATCAAATGTCTGTGTTTGTTAATATAGAAAGGAAATGTTTCATTCGATATCGAACGTTTTTCTCTGTGTTTGTGTGTGTGCGTGTGCCTTCCAAAATGTATGTATCATTTATTGTTGTTGTTGAATGAATGAATGAATGAAAAACAATCGAAACCAATTTATTCAAGGTGTATATCATTCATTAATCACTCACTCGCTCATCATTTTCATTCAATAACATTTTATTATTAACCATCTAATTTGGGGACAACAAGCATGATAATATGCTACCACCATATTCAAATTCATTGAATGTTTTGTATGCAAAAAAAAAATCCAATAATAAAGACAATAAACAATGATGATGATGATGAAGTCGTCATTGGAATCAATTGAAATATTGGAAACAAAAATCGAGCGAAAAAAAATAGAGGGAGAGAAATATAAAATGTGGAATTGGTCGATGATCATCATCAATGCGATCTTGACCGATATTTTTAAATATTTGTTGTTGTTGTTGTTTTTTCTATATACACGTTTCCTCTTTGATGACAACAACAACAACACGTAGGCGTGTGTTTTTGATTATTCTAACGGGATTTTTTTTTTGTTTTGTTTCATTTCGAGGGGATGGAGGACGAGAGAGAGAGAGAGAGAGGAAATGATGATTCGATGAAATGTAAACTCAACCAAAATAAAATAAAAATTTTGTCCGAACAATTTCAAATAAAAAAAAATTGCATTGATTGATTGATTGATTGATTGAATATATCTAATCAAATGGTTTGATTTGCAATTTTTTTTTGTTGCATGTAGAATGTGTTGAGGCCTAAAAATCTAATTTTTTTTCTTCTAATTAAATAAATCGAGAACATGGAAAGAGAAAAAGAAATCGAGTTCAACACAAAACAACAACAACAACAACAACAACGGCGACGATAGATTGAAAGAAAGAAAGAAAGAAAAACTTTATGCTATTTGTACATTTTGTATGAAAATCCATTTGAGACCGCAACAACAACAACAACAACAACAACAACGAACAGAAAAAAATGAGGATGTTCTAAATTTTTTTTTAAATGAAAACTAGACTAAATTATTATTGAAATGAAAATTTTCAAAATCTTACCTTCCATATAATTGTCCAACAAAATTATAGCCATATGTATCCTGATGGCATGGTGTACAGGATTTGGTCGTACCGATCCAAATAGTCGTTGAAAATTTTTGATTCATCATCGGTCCATTCGATTCGAATAGACCTAAATTATTCCATTGGATAACATTGGATAGAGTGACTGGTGACTTTTTTGATCCATCATTTCATCAATATGATTATATGAACTATAGAAACAATATTCATTTATTGATGAATATTTTTCAAATGGATTCATTGTAGAATGATAATTTTTTTCATTCTTTGTTTTCATTTTGATAAAATCAATAAATTCTCCCATTGTAGCCGTAATCGTATCGATGGCTTCATTTTCCCAATAGCCATTATTGTCATCATCATCATCATCATCATCATCAAAAGTAGTAGATGATTCTAATAATGATCGTTGATGAGAAAAAATTTCATCATCAATTTTAATAATTTTATTATTATCATCATATTTTTTCGATGATTGTTTTCGATGGACACGAAATTTAAACTTTGTTTCATGGTGACAATTATCTGCCCATTCATTCAATGTCCATTGAATACATGGCCATTTATCATTCAATAGGCCACGTATTATGAATGGGCGTTCGACCGATTCAAATCGCGTTTGTTGTTGTTGTTGTTGCTGTTGCTGTGTTGTTTGCAACGAATCGTGACAATCCTTGAGACAATTCATTTTTGCCCGCCAAAAAAAAAGAAAAAAGAAAAGAAAAATCTTTCGTCACCTAAAGTGAAAACAAACAACAAAAAAAAAAAAAAAAAAAAATGAAGAAATGCAAGAAAACAACAACAAAATCAGATCAGTGCATAATGAATTTTTTTTTTTAAAGAGAAAATTAAACTTTTTCCCACATACAAAATAAACAATAACAAAAAAAAATTAGGTATTTAAAATGATATAATATAGAATTCAATGAAATAATAATTGATATATAGATTGATTCTATTGATATGAACGCAAACGAAAAGTAAAAAAAAAATAGCCGTAGTTAAAGTCATGTTTGATGGTTCGATGTTCGATGTGTGTGTTTTTTGTTCATTTTTTCAAGTCCAATTGTACCACCAATTTGGTGGCAATTTCTTTGGCCAATTTTTCATTACTTGCAAATATAAAACGACGTCCTTGTAGATCTAATTGGCCACCAGTTGTATCACAAACATGACCACCGGCTTCAGTGGCTATAACAACACCGGCACAAATGTCCCAAATATATGGACCAAATTCAAAAAATGCATCCATTTGTCCAGATGCAACGGAACAGATATTCAATGCTGCTGAACCAAGTGAACGAATACCATGACTAGCCCATCCGATGGATTCAAGATTTTTAAATACACATTCACGTTTAGCTTCATCACGTTGACTGCCCAATTCGGCCACCACCAATGCCTGGCTTAATGATGGACATGGCCGTACATGTATATCGATAATTTCACCATTAGATTTTGTCAATTTAGCACCATGTCCTTTAATGGCAGTATAAAGATGATCCAAATGTGGATGATAAATAACGCCCAAACATGGTTGACGTTTATATGTGAAACCAATCGATATGCAACAGAATGGAAAATTATGAACAAAATTTGTGGTACCATCAATTGGATCAATAATCCATGTTGGATCATCGGACCATTCATCAGTTTCGTTTGCTGATTCTTCACCAATAAATTTATCATCTGGATATTGTTTTTTAATCTCATCGAATACCATTTTTTCCACAGCTTTATCACTTTCAGTAACTAGATCGGCAAAGCTACATTTTTCATCTGGCAATATCATATTTCCTGAAGCTTTTTTAATAATTTCACCGGCTTGTTTAGCCAATCTGATTGCTAACGATTGTCGTTCAAGTAATTCTTTTAATTCCATTTTCTGAATTTATCCACGTTATATTATCAAAATAGATGAAAAATAAAGATGATGGTCGAATGGACAAAAAAAAGAGAGAGAGAGAGAGAAAAGGCACAGAAAAAAGCAAAACAAGAGTCCTAATTTCGATAGAGATGGAAAAATTGGGGAAAAAAGAAAAAAATTTACAAAAAAAAATCGAATACGAAAAAAAACGCACCTACCCAGGTATTTATATAGTGATGATTGGTTATTAATTAATGAATTGGTTAATCAATTAAAATTGCTGAAATTTATATATGGTCATAATAATAATGAACAAAATGAAGAAATTTGATTACCATAAAAATTATTCGAAACACATACACATTCGATTCGATTCGATTCGATTTTTTTATAAACATACGGCATGTCCTTCTACATTGAATATACAAATAATGAATGATTGGAATCATGTCAGCATCACAGGTCTAAATAGCCACCCAAAATACCAGTACACACACACACACACACACATTCGAAACATGAAGTGAGAAAAAAAAATCAAGATATACAACAAACACCACCATATTGAAACCATATATATTGATTGATTGATATAATCCATCGATGATGTTGATGATAATATTGATTGTTATCAAATGAAATGAAAAAAAAACACATGTGTACAACGTGAATTGGTTCATTTGAATTGATAAAAAATTTTTTTTTTTATTTTGAACCCATCAATGTCTCATGATGATGATGATGATGATGACGACGGAATGACACGAACAAACGAAATGAAATGATTCGATTTCGAATTCATCACCATCATCATCATCAAATCAATCAATTTGAAAACGAGAAATTTCCGATCAACCACAATCAATTACATCAAATTTTGTCATCATTCACGAGATTTATTATGATTCGTTTGAAATTGATACAAGAGTTTGTTTTTTTTATGAATCAAGAAAAAAAAATCATTCAAAATTTTGTTTTTATTTCAATAACAAAATGGGAATAATGTGTGTATGCGTGTCTATGTATGTGTGTGAAAATTTCCAAATATTTCAATCAATATATGTTGTATATCTCTATCATTCAATCTTTTTAGGGTAAATCCTCATCATCGATTGTGTGTGTGTGTGTGTGTGATCGATGATGATGATAATGATTTTCAAAAAAAAAAATCAATGGATGTGTGTGTGTGTTGTTTTGTAACGAAAAAAATACATGGATGTTATATAATTAAAAAAAATTTCTTGGAAGTGTGTGTGTATGGATGTGGGGACGACAAATTTAATTTCATTTGTTCGATGATGATGAACCACCATTTTCAGCATCAGCAGCAGCAGCAGCAGTAGTAGTAGCATCATCATTTCCATCACCGGCATTTTTGTTGTTGTTGTTGATGATGATTTAGATTTTTTCTTCTTTTTAGCCGTTTTGTTCGTCAAACCTTTTGCCAGAATTGTTTTCAATGATTCATCTTCAATAGAATATTCAGATTCACATATAGATGGATCAAATGATAGGCCAGTAATTTTATGTGAACCGGATGGCATCAATAATACAGTAAATTTAAACTGAGCGATCATTTCATTATCTTTATCATATAGTACACTATATGGTTCTAATAATTTATGTTTTACACATTCAACAACACCCATACGTGCTTTCTGTTCATTATCCAATGCACGTAATGTGAATGGCATGTTGGCAAATTTTTTATCAATATCCGAAAATAGTACACGTGATGCTTTCATTTTTAGCTGATAATTTTCATCAGTTTTTCGATAAATGGTTGTCTTTGAATCCATTTCTCTTGTCTATATATATATGATGATAAAAAATTGTAATTTGATATATATTCAAATGGAAATATACCAGAGAAAAAAAAATTAGAAAAATCACCAACAACAACATGAGTATCGATAAAAAAAATCAAAAAATTGTTTACCTTTCCATCACCAGTAGTGATAAGAACATCGATGGCATACACTTCATGAACAAGAAATTCACATTTTTCATGTTCTTTACGTTGTATATCGGTAGGATTCTGTATGATTGTTTTGCCACCATCCATTTGATATTGTTTTGTTTGATGTGACAACATACCAGAAATTGGTTTACATTTAAATGTATCTGATACTTTCTGTACAGCATCAGTAACGGCAATATTTTCATTACCTGGCTGTACCAGACGTAATGCAACTTCTGAACCATAATATGCAGCCAATAATGCATCCGCTTGTCTACCTTTGATTCGATTTTCCATTGTGGCACCAATTACAATTGTATGTGCAGCTAATGCCATATAGCCATCAATATGGGCACCAAGATCACTAGATATAATTCAATGGACAAACAAAGAATTCAATTAGATTAAAAAAAAAATTAACATCAAAAACAAACTTACACTTTAACCATATCACCATCTTTCAATGTGACAATTGGATCACTTTTCAATGGTGAATAATGGCATACACAATTGTTGACGGATACACAGGTAGGAAAAGCTATACCTTTTTTAATTTCTTTTTCTTTTTTAAAAACTTTTTTCGTTTCTTCATTAATTTGATTGTCACCAAATTCACAAATATCGATGATGCTTGCACCAGCAACACATTTATCCAATACTTGTTGCAATACACCTGTAAATGTAAAAAAAAAATTGAAAAAAAACCAAAAAATCGAATATCAAAAAAACTTACGATTGACCATTTCACCTGCCATTTTATATTTAGTCACAACAATATCCGTTGCAATCGTATTCTTTTCCACATCACCACCACCAACGGCACCAGTGATTGTTGATGAATCTTTATCTTTACTTTCGGACATGATGATGATGATGGCGATGGACCTTTTCGAATTTGTTTATTACACTATATATATAGTTTCGAATGAATTGATGATGATAATAATTTCAATTAAATTTAACAACTATGTATTCTATAAATGAATGGAAATTGATGAATGTGAAGAATGCAACAAAAAAAATTCAGTTTTACCAGTGATAAAAAATTTATTCTTTCAAAATTGGATCGAAAACATGCAACAAAACAACACACATGCATCAAAGAAACAAGGGGAAGAAGAGTGTGTGTGTGTTGTGGTGGAAACACGACGACAGTGTGTGTGTGTGTGTGTGTGTGTGTTGGTTTTGTGTATTTGTTGGAAACCGGCGGCACCTGTCGGAGATAATTTTTCTATGCTATCCAAAACATGATTACTTCATAGAGGATGTTACGGTAAATTTTCCAATTCATTTGTTTGTTTGTTTATTTTATTTTACTCGGATGTTTCCACACAACCACACACCAATATCAAACAACAACGAAAATCGTATTGAAAATTTGAACAATTAAGAGAAAAATATCAATGGCCACATTTACCATATTGAATCCAAGTCAAATTAATGCCGATGATTCATCCGATGATGATGATGATGATTATGGTGCCAGTGATTTTATCATGTATAAAGATCGTCAAGAATGGTCAGATGTTATACCATTGAAACAGAATGATGGCCATCATCCAATTGTATCGATTAGTTATTTACCACAATATGAAGATACTTTCAATTATTTTCGTGCCATAATGGCTATGGAAGAGATTAGTGAACGTGCATTACAACTTACTAATGATTGTGTTCGTTTCAATGCAACCAATTATACTGTATGGCATTATCGTCGTGTATTGTTGGAACGATTGGAAAAAAATCTAATCGATGAATTGAATTATATTCATGGCATTATAATGAAGAATCCAAAAAATTATCAAGTTTGGGAACATGAAAAATTTTTGCTACGAAAAATTCGTGAAAAAATCGAACACAATGAATTCGATGGAAAACTGACGGTGGAAGATGTTGGTGAAAAATTCAAACAATTTATCCATAAAATTCTTCATAATAATGATTCAAAAAATTATCATGCATGGCAACAACGACAATGGTTCATACGTGATTGGCAACAATTTGATGGTGAATTAGAATTCACTGATCAAATGATTGATCATGATATAAGAAATAATTCAGCATGGAATCATCGATTTTTTGTCATCAAATATACAACCGGTTTTTCATCCAATGTGATTGAACGTGAATGTCGTTATACAATGGAAAAAAATCATTTAGCACCGAATAATGAATCTAGTTGGAATTATTTACTTGGCATTATGAAACAATCTGATTGGAAAATTGATTCATTCGAATGGATTTGGAATGAATGTCAAACATTGTACAACGATGACAACAACAACAACAACAACAATGATGATGGTGATGAAACCGTTAACGATTCAAAAACAAAACAACGTTCACCACATTTAGTTTATTTCATGTTTCGTTATATTTCAATGAAATTAGAATCATTAATCGAAAATGATTCTGATGGTGATACAACAATGAAATCAATGTATTCAGAAGCGGAAAAATATTGTAAAGAATTGGCCGAATCAATCGATACCATACGAAAACATTATTGGAATTATCAATTGCAGCAATTGCAAAAATTCTATGGATCATAAAAACATTCTCTCTCAAAAAAAAACATTGTTTTTCAATTTACATTTTTGATGAGATTTTCTTTTTCTTACTGATGAATAAAAAAAAAATTCCAAACACAACAATCCGATTAAAACATTCAATTCTAATAATTCACAATGGAATAGAAATTTGCCTTGTGGATTTTCAAATTATTGATTGACAACCACGCATTTTTTTTTATAATAATAATCAAAAATAATGAAAAAAAAACACCGGCAATAGAAAATGTCAAAAGATGTCGTCAACGTCAAGTAAATAAATAAATGTGTGTGTGTGTGTGTGTGTTTTGGACGTCATGAATAACGTATTTTGTTTTTTTTATTTTTTTTTTTATTTGAAAATAAAAAAAAAATGAAAAATTTAATTGATGAAAAAAAAATCATCCTGAACACAGAACTAAATATAGAAATTTGGTAAATATTTGGTAATCATCATCATCAGCAGCAGCAGCAAAAAACTTGGCTTTTCGGATACATTGTAAAAATGAAAATTTGAATTTTTTTCATTTTTTTTTCTCTATTGAATATCGTGGATTATCAGCAACAAAATCATTCGCTACCTGAAATGAATGAATGAAAATTTATCCCACTAGAGATTAAAAAATCATCATCATCATTTAAAAATAGAAATATAAAAATGATCATGATGATGATGATGATGTTTAAAATGGAAATGCAAATTAGCCGAAATTCCGGAATATCAATTCAGAGTCGTCGTTGTTGGTCGAATATTCTTACTGTTGTTTGTTGTAGAAAATGATTTTTTTTTTCATCCTTTTTTTTCGTTGCCATCATTTGGTATTCCAGAGCGCCCGCGCATTTTTTTTTCAACTGAAATTAGCTGAATTGAAATACCAAACACACACACACACACACACACAGAATATAGGCGTTGAATTGAATTCTGGTAAAAATGTTCACATCAAAAACGACAACAACAAGAAAGCAGAAATCCCATGGAACACACACACACAAACGCACATGAAATAGCCGCCACATCATCATCATCATTCGAATATTCACATAGAACCGACAACATCAATTCGACCAACCAACCAACGAAAGAATCGGTTTCTTCATTCAGACAAAAACAATTTTTATTAGAAAGAAAATTTTCAAATGAGATTAAATTGGATGGAAAAAAAATTTTCATTCCAAAAATTCTAATGTTTGTTTACATCATTTTTTTTTTTGTTTTGTTTTGTTGGTTGGTTGGTTGGTTTATTGTTACAAAGTTTAATTTAAATTTTTTTTTCTTTTTTCGCTACAAAATTTCAATTATCATCATCGCCATCGTCATTTTTATTATTATTCCTGTCTTGTTGCCAACTTTGTTCGTTCGTTCGTCGTTTGTAATTTAATTTCATTTGTTCACTATAAACCATCTACTACTTGCTACCAGTTTTTCAGAAATTTTTTTTTCTTCATTCACAATAAAACTTTGGCCCAGAACTATCATCATCATCATCATTTATAAGTTCAAAAAACAAATGGATTCAACCAAAGATCTTGGTAATAACAGCAGCATCAGCAGCAGCAATAATAATGTCTACAAGATTCTATTGTTGGGTGATTCGAATGTTGGAAAAACCTGTATAGTACAACGTTTTTGTGATGATTCATTCATCGATGGTTATATTTCAACCATTGGTAAGTTTGTTTTCGTTTGTGTGTGTGTGTGTGTAATGAATTTTTTGTTTCTGAATATTTTTTTTTTCTTCTTCTCAATTCTGATCAACCAAATAGGAATTGATTTTAAACAAAAAATGATTAAATTAGACGATGATAATAAAGATATAAAACTACAATTATGGGATACAGCCGGCCAAGAACGTTTCCGTGCATTAACCACTGCCTATTATCGTGGCGCTATGGGCATTATCGTTGTTTATGATGTAACAAATCTTGAATCATTTCAACATGTATCATATTGGTTTAAAAATATTGATGAAGTAAGGTGCCCATCGATTGTGATTGATTGATTGATATTTCATTTGTTTTTCGTTTTTTCATTCCCCCCATTTATCACTAAATTATAAACAAAACAAAACAAATCAAAAGAATGCCTCACCACAGGTGATCAAAGTATTGGTTGCCAATAAATGTGATCTAGATCAAACATTCCGTGTTGTTGATCATGAACAAGCTGAACAATTGGCAAAACGTTTCGATGTACCATTCTATGAATGTAGCTGTAAAAATAATTTCAATATACAAAATGTATTCTATGATCTATGCCATCGAATTCATGATCAATTGGAACAGAATGAAAATATGTTTGAATATGATGGCCATATAAATAGTATGGATATAATTAAAAGATTAGAAGATCATCAACAACGATTACAACGACGTCGTTCGTCAACAATGAATTATAATAATAACAATGATGGTGATGATGATGATAATATCGATGGTGGATCGACAATCAAATCTTGTTCAAATTGTGTTACAAATTATTATTATAATTACAACAACAACAACAATAGTAGCAGCAGCAGTTTACATAATAGTTTTGATAACCATGGTAGTAGTGGTGGTGGTGGTAAACATGATAATTCTTCTTGAAATCATCAAAATCATCAAATATACACAATGATAATGAATGAATGAATCACACAATTGGCCAAATCAATTAAACATTTTTATTCCACAAGCACAAGAAAATTAAAAAAAAAAATTTTTTGTTTGTTTGTTTGTTTTCAATTCTACTATTGATTGAATTTGTTGAATGAAACAATTTCTTGACATTAACATGGTGGCCAACCTAATTGACGACCACCAATAACATGAAAATGAATATGATATACTGATTGACAGCCATGACGACCATTATTCATAACCAAACGATAACCATTGGTGGCCAATCCTTTTTGTTCGGCAACTTTACGTACAACAGACATCATATGTCCAAGAATTTTTTCATCATCATCAGTAGTTTTCGATAATTGTGTTATCGGTTTACGTGGAATGACAAGAAAATGTACTGGTGCTATAAAAGAGAAAAAAAACAAGATTAGATAATGATCAATTGATATTGATTTCGAAAAAGGTCAAAAATGGGAGAAATGTTCGAATTGTTATTTCCAAAACTTACCAACAGGATTAATGTCATCAAAAGCGACACACTGAAATGAAAAAAAGAGAAAAAATGAAATGAAATTGGATTCGATTTTTTCATGTTCAAAAAAAAAAAATACGACTTACCATATCATCTTCATAGATAAATTTGGCCGGTATTTTTCCATTCAACATTTTACCGAAAATTGTTTCTTGTCCATCATCGGTAGCTGATTGTGCTTTCGATTGTTCATCAGACATTTTGGTTGTGGTAGATTTTTTTTGATCAGAAAATAATCGAATTTGTAAATAATGATGATGATGATTTCTATTTGGCAAAAAAATGCTGTCGACATGCCTGATGATATTGATCGAATAATGATCGTGATATTGATGACAAGCTCAAGATGGCACCACTAAAAATTTGTGTATCAAATATAATGCCACTACAAATACCGGTAACATGCCGTTTACTACATGCATTGATTGTTGTTGCTATCATTGATGTTGTAGTTGTCGTTGTGGTTGTGGTTGGTGGTGTGTTTCTGGCTCTAATCATATCCATGTGATTTTTATTAATTGATGATGATGATGATGATGAAGATAATGATGATAATCGTCTTGTAATGGCAAATCTCCAAAAACATTCCATTGTCTTGGTAATATAATGATTATGATCCAAATAATAAACTTTCATTATTGGTGATTGGTAGCTGAAAAATCGAATCTCTAAATTCATGAAAATCGAATTCTGTATAAAGAATTTTTTTCCTCACTGAAAATCAACATTACAAACAAACAAGCAAAAAAAAAAAACTTACACGTGTCGTTTACACACACACACACAAAGAAAGTACAGAGATATAATGATGATGAATATTTATCCACTAAATGGTTCCACCACAAACAGAAAAACGATGATGACGACGACAACAGATGATAAAAATGTTATTAATAATGATGATGAAAATTTTCATAGAGAATCATCGGTACCATCACAAAAATCATCATCCAATGATGATGATAATAATAATAAATCATCATCAACTACATTAATTGATCAACGAAAATTTTTTCAACACCATCAACGTTCATCAACATTTCATCCATTTAATATCATTGATAATAATAATGTTCACCATCAACATCATCGAAATATTGATTATAATCATGTCAACAAAAACAACAACAACGATGATGATGATGATGATGATGATGAAGAAGAATTACTTTTTGATAATGAAGATGATGATATTCGACAGGAAATATTAATAGATGAACATCGGCGAACTACAACGACCACGACAACATATCAATGTAACAATGAACAAATACAAATGTCATTGGAACAAATCATATGTGAAGGTAACGTTTTATTTGAACGATAATAAAAAGATGATTTGTTTGAATTTATCACTTCTTTTGTTTTCCCCCCTGGTTTAGATTTACATGCATTTGAAAATCGTTTAATGGAAATCATACAAACATATGAACCACAAACAAAACGTTGGCGTTGGATATTAACAATATCATTGCTGGCAACATTAATAACAGCCATACAATGGTTATTAGATGTTGAAACATTTGAAACATCATTTTGGCAATCATTATGTAATCATCGTTTATTCACTGCAAATTGTTTCATATTGATAACATTATTTCTTTATTTTGGTATACATCAACGTTGTATACAGCATAATATTATTGGCCACCGTATACGTGATGTTATCGGACAATTCAATATGGATTGTACTGATCAAGGCCGATTAATATTGATGCCAAAACCATCAACATTTTATAATGAACATTTTAGACAATATTTTAATAATTTTTATAATCATAATTATTCACCACAATCATCATCATCACAATTCAATTCACCTGTAACTCAAGCATCACCACCACCACCACCACCATCTATAAATTATCCGAATGGATTTTAATGATAATCGATAAAATCGAATCGCGTGGCAAAACAAAACAAAACTGATTTTACACACACACACTGTGATTAATTAATTTCATTTCTTTGTATCTCTCTCCAAATCTTTGTATTTATTATTTTTTTTCGTTTTTTTTCCACATCATCATCAATAAAATTGACCATTTAAAATGATGATTTAGTTGTATGATTCGTTGGATAATAACGATTATTATTATTGTTATTGAATACTAATCGATTAGATTTGGTCAAATGAAATAATCGTTTTGTTGATTTTAAATTATTTTTCATTTTTTTATAATTATTATCACTTTCAGTCCATAGAAATAATGCTGTACCAATCAATGCCATAATGATGATGAATATACAACCGGTTATTAGAAATGAATTGTTTGTTTTTCGATTTATAGCTTCATGGAAATATTTCATGGTTGTCGATTCTTTTTTGTCATCATCATTATCATTATCATTATTTTTGATTGTCATTTCTGGCTCTTCTTCTGTGCTTTGCATTGAAATTTCATAACCGATATCCATTGGACACATAGTCGTGGTGGTGATGGTCGTTTGATGATGTTCGGTGGTGGCACTACTGCTGCTGTTGATGTGGAAATTTTTCTTGGTCGTCCATCCACCATTTGCATAAATAGTCGTCGGTGTTGTCATTTCTGTACTACTCTCGGCAGCTATATCATAGATACAGATGAAAAAATTGTATGTAGTTCGAATTTCGATCGAAAATTGCTTTCCATACTCGCTAAGAATTTGTGAATTAATTTGCCAGATTTTTTGATTCATTTTCGATATCAAATAGAGACGATTAGTGATAACAAATCCATAATCAAATTGCATTAATCGGTCATTTTCTTTTATCTCATGATAATTTGATTGACACGGTTTTTGACTTAATTCTAAAAAATTTTTCTTCCGTTTCATCATACAAATGTATCCGATTGTTTCATTTAGTTGAAAATTTTGCAACACAAAATTTCTTGGATCGTCATCCAATTTTGATGTGAAAACCAATACTCTATCAGCCGTATTGATCAGGATAACACGTGAAAATTTTATCGGACAATTTTGATTGTAAATACAATTTCTCATATCACCAACAATTAAATTTCCATTCGATTTATAATGATAACCATATTGATAATTATTTACAATGAATCGATAAATAAAAGCGAATAATAATGTTCCATTGACGTGATCGGAATGATGGCTGGCTACCACAAGTGCCATATTCACTGCAATATGAAAATCATGTTCTTGTAGAAAATTTGCTAATGATAAATCAATTTCTGATAATTTATATTGACTGCCATCGGATAGTTTTATATGAATCGATTGACCATCGAGGATAATGTGTTTGGATTGATCGAAATAGACAATAACTTTGATCACATTATTATCATCAATGATAAATTGATACAATTTATTATCATAAAATGATAATCCAATTGTTTGATTCAGAAATTCTGTTCCACATTTGATTGAACGTGATGTATTATGCAGACCATGACCACATGATGATAATGACCATCCATAAGAAGTTTTCGATGGAAATATATGATATTTAAGTTGTGATTCAACAATGGTGGTAACCATCATTATAAAAGTGAAGAATTTTAACCATTTAGCAAACATTTTTTTTCTCCTGCCGAATAATAAGAATTTCTTGTCGATATAAAAGAAAATGTTGAATATTTGCAATTTAAATCCATATTTTTTTAAGAATTCACCAAATTAATTAATTTGATTATACAATTAAAACAATCGAAAAAAATTATTCATTCAACATTCGAATTGATAACAACAACATTGATAGACTACACTATCGATACTATCGAAAAAAAAATTCATTTATTTTTATTTAATAATTGTTGATGAATCTGTCGAACGAATTGTTGGATAACGATATAATTTAGTCGATGATAATGATTGTTTCTCATTCTTTGAATGTAATAATCGTTTTTTCTGTTTTCTATTTACATTATTAATTTTATCACCATAATGATGATTTTGTTGTTGTTCACGTGTTTTTTCTTCACCACCAATCGTTAATTGTTTTTCGTCTTGTTGTTTTTGTTGTTGTTGTTGTGTTTTTTTTTCATTAGTAATCATCAAATTATTTTTTCTATATTTATGTTTAGTCCAAAAGAATAACAATGTGCCCATGAATACTAGAAATGTGAACAGTATACATCCAATTATTAGCAAGGAATTATTGTTGCCCGTTTGATCGATTATCGTTTGATGGTCAGTACTGTTGTTGTTGTTGATCGGAAAATATTTCTGAGTCGTCGATTCTTTTGTTTCATCAACTGTCGTTTTGGTCATTTCTGTGCTTTCAATTTCATCACCTAAACCGGGTGAACAGATGAAAAAATCAGACATTTTTCGTATATTGAATCCAAATCGTTTTCCATGATCACTAAGAATTCGTGAATCAATTTGCCAGATTTCGGTATTAATTTTCGATATCAAATACAGGTAATTATTGTGAACAAATCCATAATCAATTTGTATTAATCGATCATTTTCATCTAGATTATGATATTTTGAATGACATGGTTCTTTAGTCAATTGTAAATGATTATCCAGCTTGTTTACCATGCAAACATATCCAATCGTATGATTAAGTTGAAAATTTTGCAATACAAATTTCTTTGAATCCTGATTCATTTTCGATGTAAAAATGAATATTCCATCTGCTACTGTATTGATCATGATCACACGTGCAAATGTAATCGGACAATTTGGATTGAACACACAATTACGCATATCACCAACGGTTAAATTTCTATATGGACCATAATGATAACCATAACTATAATAGGTATCCGAGATACGATAAAGAAAAGCAAATAATGTTTTATTTGCATGTGATACCAATGACATTTCCTGTACAGTTCGTTGATCATATCGTCGTAAATATTTTGCTATTGATTCATCAATTTCAGCCAATCCGTATTGATAACCATTCAATAGATTTACATGAATAAATGATGATTGCTGTTCATCATCATTGACAATGTATTTGGATTGATCAAAATAAACAATGACTTTAATTTCACTACCAGCAATAAATTGAAACAAATTATTGCCATAAAACGAAAATCCAATCGTTCGATCTAGATATTCTAATCCACAATCAATTGTTGAATTAATATTTTGATCAAATGATAATGGCCATTCATGTGAAACATTGGAATTATTTAGATCAAATACGGTACGCGATTCGATAAACTTGATGATGGTGATGGTGATGGTGGTGATCAATAAAAAATAATATGAAAATTTCATCATTACGAACCATTTGAAAAGAAACATTTTTTTTTCTCACTCGAAACTTGCTAATAAAAACTGTTGAGAAAAAATTCTAAATTTAAATCAGAATTTTTTCTCTTTCTCTCTCGTAAATTAATTTATTGAATTTAATAACTTGAAATTAATTTGTTATAATTTGGAATGAAACAAAAAAAAAATTTATTCATCCATTTCCTTTCGATAAAAGTGATGATCTACTACTATCGATAGTGAATGAAAATTTTTTTTTTTTTGTGAAACCATCGAACATCGAACATGCGCCCATCACTGTAAACTCGAAATGTTGGAAGGTATATGTGATGTGTTGTCGGTGTTTTTTCAATGTTTATATTCAATTACAGATTCATCTGCTGTAAAAGGCAAAAATTGTCAAAAAAAAATTTTTTTCTCTGATTTTGTCTGATTCATCAAATCTTTTCCATCATTTCATCATGAATCAACAGAATAATATCAATGCAAAATTTATGCAAAAATCAATAATTCATTCACCTTTGTCATTAAAAGTAGTAGTGGCATTCATATGAATTTTCATTTCATTTCAAATTATCATGTCATCATTTTGATTTTTCATTCATTCATTCATTCATTCGAATAATCAACGTTTCTGCTACAGAAAACAAAAAAAAATCCAAAAATTTCTAATCTAGGTATTGATGATGTGATTATTTATGAAAAAAAACCAAGAGCAAAATAAATAAATCGTATATATGTGCTGTAGCACACCATATAGGAGTTTGTTTATATGATAATAAGCTTACCACCATATACACAAAAATCTATTATTTATCATCGTCATCATCATCAGTGATTTAAATTGGCAAACAAAAACATTGCCTGTATTCATATACTCACTCGTTTGTGGTAGTTTTATGTTTGCATTTGTTTGTTTGTCAATTGCACACCATTTGATACATTGAAATCAAACAACAACAACAACAACAAAAAATATCAACTGAATCATCGTACAAAATTTTCTTTTTTTTCCTATTGATGGTTAAAATATTTTAATCGATTACTACTGTTCGATATAAATCAATCTCAAGTTTTGAAAATTTTTGAACTTTTCATTTCATCTGAAATTTGACTAGAAGAAAAAAAAATATGTCAACCTATAATTTTGAAAATGATCCATTTGCTGTAAGGCGTTTCTTTATATTGTTTTTTGGTTTCTATAGTTCTTTGTTCACTTGTTTTTTTTTCAGGATCCAGCAATAACAGCTGCAGCCAATTCTGGACAAAGAAATTCCAATAACAATGCAATATCAGCCGCTTCTGATGCATTCGATTATAATCCATTTGCAAATCAACCGACAGTAACGACCACAGCAACAACAACAACCGCTACGAATGTGGATCCATTTTCACCAACATTAGAAACAGCACCGGCTTCAACAGCAATCACATCACCAACTACAGCCATATTAAGTCCAACAAATGTTAATTTATCATATAATAATCCACCACAACAGCAACCAACAAATTCATCATCATCATCATCAAACAATATAACAGCTGAACAGCTTAGACAACGTCAAGAAGAATTGGATCGTAAAGCAGCCGAATTGGCCGCAAGAGAAGCTGAACTTCATCGTGCACAACGTTTGAATACAAGAGAGAATAATTTTCCACCATTACCAAGTTTTTTTCCATGTCAACCATGTTTTTATCAAGATATTAATGTTGAGATTGAAATTAATTTTCAGAATATCGTACGTCAAGTTTATCAATTATGGATGTGTAAGTTATAATCGTTTTGTGTGTGTATATGCGTTTATTCATTTTTTCTTTGAAAACAAGTCTATATCATAGCTTTGTTGGTCAATTTTATTGGATGTTTATTTGCATTCATCGAAGGTATACCGGAAAGTGCAGGAATGTTTAGTTTTTCATTGGTTACCATTGTGTTGTTTACACCATTATCATTCATCTGTTGGTTTCGACCATTATACAAGGCTTTCCGGTTCGTTTTTGTTTTTCGATGCTAATATTTCATGCTAATTTTTTTTTCTTCACACACAGAGATGATAGCTCGTTCAATTTTATGATTTTCTTTTTTGTTTTTTTCTGTCAATTGGTTCTATCATCTGTTTGGGCTTTAGGATTACCTGGTTCTGGTGGAATGTAAGTTTTTTCTATTTTATTTTTTTTATTTTATTTTGTCATTGAAAAATTATTTTTCAATTACAGTGGCCTAATTCAAACATTGAAATATTTTTCAACATCTGGAATATCTGGCTGGTTTCGTATAATTTGTTTATTATGTACGTTTGTTCTATCCTGTTATGCTTTGGCATCGGTTTATATTCTAATCAAGGTTTGTTGTTGATTTTTTTTATTGTCTTGAAATTATTTTTGAATTTTTTTTTCAAATTTAGGTACATGGTATTTATCATAAAAGCGATCTTAGTATCCAAAAAGCACAGGCTGAATTCACTTCAAGAGTGATGAGTAATGAACGTGTACAACAAATGGCAACAAATGCAGCTCAACAAGCTGCAAGACAAGCAATGAATCAGGCATTCAATCCACAACAACAACAACAACAACAATCTGAAGGTGGTGGATTTCGTTATTGAAAAAAAAATTCGTTAAAATCATAATTATGTAACATATTGAAATTGAATTAAATATATTGTGTATTTCTGTGTGTGTGTGTGTGTGTGTGTTATGATTGCTTTCTCTTTTCAAGAATCATAAAAATATAATAATATTGGTTTCTTTTCAAGAAAAAAAATTTAAAAAATCATCCAATAATAAAATATAATTATCATTGTTTCAATAACATTGTTTTAAAATCTTCTCCATTACAGGAATGTATCAACATTAAATTATGGACATTCTCCTTATTCAAGCCACTACTATTCACATCTTTAGGATTTGAATTGTTCATTGTTCGTTCGAATAGTAAAAATCCAAATGTAATCTGATAGGATTTTTGCAATCGATAAACATTCGATTCTATATGTGGATGTATAAGATGCATATCGAATGGATCAATATTTGATTCAATTCAGCCATCAATGCATTGATTGGTTCAAGATATTCACGTCGAAGTTGATCATCATGTTTGGTTTGAATGAACAATTTTTTCAAAAAGAATAGATCAAAATATAATTGTATTGAAATGATTTGTTTTGGTGATTTTAAAACGGGATCCATTAGTTTTGCCAAAAGCTTCAAGGCATCACCGTAAAGTTTCATTATATGACGACCGATTAGATGAAGAATATTGATCAATACTTGTCTAGTGACCATATGAGCACAAAATCGATTAATATCATTAGAAATATCATGTAAAACTTGATATGTTTCCAATGATAATTGTATTGGTACTTCAATAATCGTTTTAGATTGATCCTCTTGATCATTTGAAATGGTAATTGTTTCCCATAGGGAAAAATTCTTTAAAAATTGACTCAAATCAACAAATGACGTTGGATCAATCCGGCTAAAATGTTCAGTGATAGTAAGATCGAACAGATTTTGTAGATAAGATTCATTCATCTGTCGAAGTTCGGATGAAATTTGTTTCCAACTAAGGCCATTCGTTTGTTGTTGATCACAGATTGAGAATATTTGACTTATTGATGGACATAAATCTGGTATTCGTTGGAATAGGACGGCACAAAAAAGTAGTAATGATTTTTGTCTTTTATCATTAACAGAATCAATTTGAATCTGAAGTGAACGAAGAAATTCAGCAATACTAGAATAAATTCGAATCAAAAAGGTTTGATGACTACGTTTGAATATGATAATATCTTCATAAAAAATAGATAATCTTTGGTTGATCATGTCGCATGTTTTTTGCACTAGACCATTAAAATCATTTATTCGTTGTGGTTGATTCGGTTCTTTCCAAACAAATTCAACAATATTCAGTTCACAATTCAACAAATTTTGTTCAATCATCGGTAATGATGTAATGAATGTCGTTTGAATGTATTTCAATTCAATTTCAGTAATTTCATACACTCTTGTTTCGAATGCAGCCATAAACCATTCGTTCCAAATGGATTGATTGACATCGACAATGGGCAAATTTTCCAATTTTGAATTTTCCATTAGCCATTGTTCGACAGAAGTTATTTCTTCGAATAACTCACGAATCGATCCAACAGATTTGAATTTTTGTTCAATTTTTTCATAAAATCTTGTCTTAATTGTTTGTATCCATTGAACAAGAGATGCTTTATCGAAAATAAACTTTTCATCCAAATCGATAGCAATTGAATCGTTTATGGTATAAAATAATAACTTTTCAGGCCATCGTATTCGCTGTACATGACTAGCTTGAATCAATTCGCTGACATGATTTGTCTTGCAAATTTCTTTTAAATGATTTTGGAGAGTACAATCCTGTGGTTCATCACTATCCGATTGATGATGAAATATTTTTGCACATTTTATCGTATTACAGGTAATATTCAATATACGTTGAATCAATATGGAAATTCGATCTGTCTCGTTGATTATTGTATCAATATTATTGGCTTGATTGTTGAGAAAATCTTCAATAATTTTGTTTGTTGAACAATTTTTCAATATTTTCAAATATGAAAATTTACAAGCAAATTTATCCAAATCAATCTCATTCTCCAATGATTGATCGGCAATCTGTTGCCAACAATTGCGAATTATTTGTGATTTTAGATTATGAATCGAATATAATTGTTGCGAACAAATATCTGAACATTGAAATGATTGTTGATCAGCCAAGTATTGTACAATACGATCACCATAATAACTACTATAAGTGGCAAGAAGAAAGTTTTCTTGATGTAAAAAATTCCATATTTGCAATGGTAGATCGAATAAAAATTTGCATACGGTTGCATTGGCAAAATAGTTTGCATTTAGCTGAAATTTTTCATGTTTTTGTTCAACAATGACCGGCCGCTGACCATCTTTATTATCCAGGACAGTTGTCGATAACTTTTTCAACGAACCAATCAATTGATTGATGGAGCTATTCATATTACCGAATGAATCGGTAGCACGAAATAATTCATTGTATCGTTCACTGTGGAAAAAAATTTATCATACAAAAAATAAAAAACCAAAATCATCCAAATATCATACCCAATCAGTTGTTTTAAATCATTCTGTTTTTTCTCTACATCATTTTTTAGCTTTTGTTGTACCAAAATTACATCGGAAACTAAATAATTACGAAAAAGATGATCAACATTTGTTGATTCCATGATTTTGTTTTTGCCACATTCGAATGATTCATTCATTCAAAAACAATACTATTCGAATCTATTGTGACAAAATGGTCTGATCAATGTGTAAATAGTAATTTTAAAAATTATGGCTCCTTCTATTATTCACAAATCGAACCAAAATTATTCAATCCAGGTGAAAATTCATAAATAAATTTTTTTATTGCAAAATAAAATAAAAAGAAATTCATGATAATAAAATCTTCCGGATAAAAAAAATTAATTCCAATCTAGATATATGAAAATGAAATTGTAACGAATTTGACCAATCAGCAATTGACGCGTTTGATAATGACGCGGCGGGTATAGAGCTCCTCGAACCGGTCGAATAGGCGCTATTTTTTGATAATGACGCTGCTTTGGCGGGTATGGCTATTTTTTATTTGGCTATTCCATATCACAACCATTCCTCGAACCAAAGTGTAAATAGTAATTTTAAAAATTAGCAAAACCCAATTCAATTGTGTGTGTGTGTCTGTATTGAGTCAAGGCAAGCATGACATGAATGAATGAATGAATGCAACGCTTCAATTATACCACAACAACAATATATCTGAAACGTGTCCATATTCTGGTTATTTGATGGGGCGCGCATGACTGTGTCTGTATCTGTGTGTGTGTGTGATTAACGAATCAATTCTTGAATCATCATCTCCTTTTTTTTCTGATTGACAAATTCATTTATTCATCTTATCTTCTATATTTATATTCTGTCTATTCATTTTGATTGTTTTTTTTGTGGTAACAAAAAAACTATTTTTCGATTGTAAATATTCTATAGAGACAGCGGTGATCAATCAAATATTCTTTTAAAAAGAAAATGACGAGATTATCGTTGATGTTAATATTTATGGTCGTATGTTTGATTACGTTCGGTTGGGCAAAAGAAAAAGATAGTGGTAAAGATAAACAAGATGTCGGTACAGTTATCGGTATCGATTTGGGTAAGTTTCGAATGATGAAATGTTTGAATTAATGATCCAATTATTGATTGTGTATATAGGTACAACATATTCATGTGTGGGTGTATTCAAAAATGGCCGTGTAGAAATCATTCCAAATGATCAGGGTAATCGTATCACACCATCATATGTGGCATTCACAGCTGAAGGTGAACGTTTAATTGGTGATGCGGCTAAAAATCAATTGACCAGTAATCCAGAGAACACTGTGTTCGATGTTAAACGTTTGATTGGTCGTGAATGGGGTGATTCAACTGTACAATCTGATATTAAATTTTTCCCATTCAAAGGTAATTTTAGGTTTTTATTCTCAGTATTTTGATTAGTTGATTATCATTACTCTTTTTTTCTTTGATAGTGATCGAAAAGAATGCCAAACCTCATATTAAAGTTGAAACCGGTTCTGGAACAAAAGTTTTTGCTCCGGAAGAAATCAGTGCAATGGTATTGACTAAAATGAAGGAAACGGCTGAAGCATATCTGGGCAAGAAGGTCACACATGCAGTCGTAACAGTTCCAGCCTATTTCAATGATGCTCAACGTCAAGCCACCAAAGATGCCGGTACGATTGCTGGATTGAATGTCATGCGAATCATCAACGAGCCTACTGCCGCTGCCATTGCTTACGGTTTGGACAAAAAGGAAGGTGAAAAAAATATCCTTGTGTTCGATCTTGGTGGTGGTACTTTTGATGTATCTTTGCTCACCATCGATAATGGCGTGTTCGAAGTAGTCGCTACAAATGGTGATACTCATCTTGGTGGTGAAGATTTCGATCAACGAGTAATGGAACATTTCATTAAATTGTACAAGAAAAAGACCGGCAAAGATATTCGAAGTGATAACCGAGCCGTCCAGAAATTGAGACGTGAAGTTGAAAAAGCCAAACGTACACTCAGTGGTGCCCATCAAGCTCGAATTGAAATCGAATCAATGTTTGAAGGTGAAGACTTTAGTGAAGTTCTTACTCGTGCCAAGTTTGAAGAATTGAACATGGATTTGTTCCGATCAACATTGAAACCTGTACAAAAGGTATTGGAAGATTCAGATTTGCAAAAGAAAGATATCGATGAAATCGTATTGGTTGGTGGTTCGACTCGAATTCCGAAAATCCAACAATTAGTCAAAGAATTCTTCAATGGAAAAGAACCAACCCGTGGCATTAATCCCGATGAAGCTGTAGCTTATGGTGCTGCCGTCCAAGCTGGTGTGTTGTCTGGTGAAGAGAACACTGGTGAATTGGTATTGTTGGATGTTAATCCATTGACCATGGGTATCGAAACTGTTGGTGGTGTCATGACTAAATTGATTCCAAGAAACACTGTAATACCGACCAAAAAATCACAAATTTTCTCGACTGCATCCGATAATCAAAACACGGTTACAATCAAAGTATACGAAGGTGAACGACCAATGACCAAAGATAACCATTTGTTGGGCAAATTTGATTTGACTGGTATTCCACCTGCTCCTCGTGGTGTTCCACAAATTGAAGTCACATTCGAAATCGATGTAAATGGTATTCTCAAAGTGACGGCCGAAGATAAAGGAACTGGTAACAAGGAAAAAATTACCATTACAAATGATCACAATCGATTAACACCGGAAGATATTGAACGAATGATCAAAGAGGCAGAAAAATTTTCCGATGAAGACAAAAAGATCAAAGAACGTGTTGAAGCTAAAAATGAATTGGAATCATATGCATATTCATTGAAAAACCAAATGGGTGATAAAGAAAAATTGGGTGGAAAACTGAATGATGATGATAAATCAACAATGGAAAAAGCTATTGATGAAGCAATCAAATGGTTAGATTCGAATAGTGAAGCTGATGTTGAAGAATTTAAAGCACAGAAAAAACAATTGGAAGATACTGTACAACCGATTATTGCTAAATTATATGCAAGTGGTACTGGTGGTGGTGGTGCTGGTGGTGGTGCTGGTGCTGAGGGTGATGAATCAGCTAAAGATGAACTTTAATATTGATAAATAAATAAATAAATAACCAAATTCGATACATTTCAAAAAAAAAAAAAATAGTTTTACTTCAGTTTTCTTTCTTTCAAATTTTTTTTTCTACAATTCTCCATATATACTTATATAAAAATGTGTATTCTTCATGATTTTTGGTTTCATCCACAAATACAAAATATAATTTGTATATTTATTCTATAAATGATGATGATGAAAAATTATTATTAAAATGCAAATATAAATATGAATCAACAATGATGGGAAATGAATTTTGAATCTATATAAATAAAAACATGGAAAGGATTCAAATTCGAATGTTTTGCATGCATGCATGCATGTGTGTGTGTATGTTGAGATTCGAATCTATAGATAAAGAGAAAAAGAGAAAGTTTTGTTTTGAAAACAAAAAAAAAATTTTTCGTTTTTGTTCATGGATGATTATAAATGATGATTATGATCATGATCATCATCATGATTATTGGCTACAATGTTTTCATTTACCCCATAAAAGACCTTTGTACTAATGGATGGACTATATGTAGACAACTTGCTTGGAGATATGGAATGAATTGGCCACACATTTACTTAGGAGATGATGAAGGTTATCATCATAATGAATTAATGTGATGATTTTGATCCTATGGCTAGCCATTCCTGAATGTCGATGTTTTTGTTTTTGTTATTATTATTATTATTATGATTGTTGTTGAGTCTATATATTCAAAATTCGAATGAGAAATAATAATAATAATAACAATAACATGGACATAGACGATCATCATAATCATCATTAACCTCCATTTCATTTGTTATGTTAATTGTTACAATGTTTATCATCATCAGCAACAAATTTTTTTTACTAACCAAAAATGGTCAATCGATTGATTCTATTTGAATTTGATATTTTCTATTCGTTGTTGTTGTCGTTGTTAGTAGATAAACCTTGGATACGCGTTTTTTACATGGCCAAATAAAAATCAATTCGTTTGGTCACCTAGGTATCCATTAATGATGATGATTAATCCATTATGGGATAGGGACGGTCTATGGTAGAGAGACAAAAAAAAACATTTTTTTTAGGATTAGATCAAAATAATATTTAATCCGTTACCATTGGTAGTGGTGGTGATGATAAAGGTGGTCGTTGTTAATCGATCCTGTTGCATGTTGATCCAATCACATATTCATCATGTGAGCAAATAATTAGCAACAAAAAAAAAGAGACCCGAAACATAAAAAAGGGATATCGGGGCAAACGAAATCGAAATGTTTTTCATCATGATGATGATGATGATGGAATCTTCTACAAGTAGGACTAGAAAAACACATACAATTCCCCCCATTATCATCAACATTCGATATTGGCCCATTGGTTTGTCGGTATTTTTATCCAAAACATTTATTTTTTTTTCGTTCATTCGTTTGTTCGCTGTCCAAAAGTTATTCGTCGTCGTTATCGTTATCGTTGTCGATGTTGTTGTTGTTGTTTTCATTATCGTCATTTTGATTCGTATCGGATTGGTAATCATAATATTTTGTTTCGTTTGCCATCATCATAATCATTTGTTGCATGTTTGTATCAACATCATCATCATCATTTAGGATCGGCATTTTCTTGGTTGTCGAATTCGTTGATTGTCGAATGTTGCATCGAATCGAATGTTGTTGCTTTTTTTTTGTTTTTCATATGCAAAGCGTGCCTTCGAATGTGTTTGAATTCACTGGTTGTTCGATCGAAATGTTTCGTCAAAATTATACATCATCATAATCATCATCAAACCGAATTGATGCCTTGTTTAGGTGCATAAAGATTTTAATTTTTTTTTTATTTTTCAATAACAAAATTTTTTCCTACCTGATTTCTATTCTTCGGTGGTTGGCGTTTTTGTGTCGTCACATCATCAATCATCAAAAATCTGGATCAAATCAGCAGAAAATAGCCGGAAATAAATAATAAACAATGATGAATGAATTAGAACCAAAATTTGCAAATCTTCTTGGTTTGAATACATCTGGTAGGTGTAAATCTTTTTTTTCCTGGTTCGAGCAAATTAAGAAATTCCATGAATCAACAACGATGTTTGTGTTTTGAGCAATTTCAAAATGTTTTTTGTTGTTGTTTCAATGTTTATTTTGTTCAAATAATTTTGTTGTTGTTGTTGTTGTTTGTTTGTTTGTTTGTTTGGTTGGTTGACCGATGTGTTCGGGTGTTGTTGGTTGATCTATAGGTTGTCTATATTTTGAATAAATAAAGATTATTATTATTATGAAAAAAAAACAAAACAAACTAACCAGATTAAACGTGTGTGTGTGTGTGTATGTTTAGGTTGTGTCAAGTTGTAACAATCTTACCGTTACGAATTTTTCCAATTATCATCAACAATTTTTTGGAATTTTTGTTGTTGTTGTTGTCGTTTGATTTGTATTATATATTTATATATAAATACATTGATGATGATGATGAATTCAAATCAATCAATATTTACAAAACAATCATTAAAAAAAAATATTTTTCTTTCTCATTTTTTTTCGGTGTGTTTTTAAATCAAAAAAAAAACAAAACAAAATTCTTTCATAATCAATAAATTTTTTTTTGAACAAAAACAATTCACCAAGAGTTATCCGTACAAATATCGAATCGAACATCAGTCATCTATCAACCATCGATAGTATCGGCTGCAGTAGCAGCTGCCGATATCGTTCCTAATATCGTTTCATCAGCTACGTCATTGATTACATCGGCTAATCATAATGATCAAATATTAGCAACGACAACGACAACATCGTCTTTGACGACGACGGCCACAACGGATTCAAAAACGCAATTAAAATTATTATCACGATCAACAGTAACGGATATTCAACAACAACAACAGCAGCAGCAGCAGCAACAACAAAGAATTTCAACGGAAACGGTACAGAATCTGATTAATCATCATCATCATCAAGCAGCAGCAGCAGCAACAACAACAACAACAACAACAACATCATGAACAACAACAACAACAATCATCAGCAAATACTACCGTACAGGATTTGGCAAACAATGATGGTGCTGGTGATGAAAAAACAAAACCACCATATTCATATGTTGCACTTATAACGATGGCCATACAAAGTACACCAGAAAAACGTTTACCATTATCAAGTATTTATGAATTCATTTATACAAAATATCCATTCTATAAAAAAGAAGAAAAAGGATGGCAAAATAGTATTCGACATAATCTTAGCCTAAATGATTGTTTTATTAAAATTCCACGTGAAGAAACAAATACATCTGAACGGAAAGGTAATAATTGGGCATTACATCCATTATTTGAAAATATGTTCGAAGAAGGAAATTATAGAAGAAGAAAAAAGATTAAAAAAAATCGTCATAATCATCCATATGATACGAAATTATATCCATCATTGACACATCATAAACATCAAAATCATCATACACATTCGAATCAATCAACTGGAATGATTTCTCATCAATCAGCATATGCTGATCGTCGTGTTCATCATATTGGCCATTCAAATACATCGGCAATTACATTGGCTGCAGCACATGCACATGGAATGGTTACCAACAAATTTAGCACCAATACCGGCATCAACATTTACATTATCAAATGATCGTACAATGATTGGTAATGTAAATGATTCGACTGGAACAGTAGCAACAGGTATGAATACTGTTCGCCATCATTCACATCATTTCATCATCATCATCATACTGGTTATTTTAATAATCCATATCATCAAACATCTGGTACATCAACAAATTCATCATCGATTAATGATGCTGCTACTTATTGGTCATTACCTAGCCTACAATATAGGTATGATTAACAAAAAATTTTTTTCAAAATTCGAATTTAAAATTTTTTTCTTTTTTTTCAAAATGAATTAGTACAAATCCATCATCAGCTACTACATATGGATCAACAAACAATGCATTCAATTCTTGTCCATCAACAATCAATTTAACGACAGCCACAACAGCAACATCGACAAATACAAATAATTCAACAACATTGGTGACATCATTTGTTGAACATCGTGCAGCAGCAGCTGCTGCTGCTGCTGCTGCGGCCGCTGCGGTTGCAAGAAATGTATCATCCAACGAACTTTGTGGTACTGGTGGTGGTGGTGGTGGTGGTGGTGATGTAACAAATGATGGTACAACATCATCCGGTTCTACAGTGGCTACATCCACTGGAATTTTACCACCAATTCTATTTGGCAATGCTAATGCTATGATACATCCACAATTTCGTTATAATCCATATTGAAAATATTGAATTGGGATCTTTTTTTTTACACGAATTTTTTACCACAATTTTTTTTGTTGTCAACAAATGAATGCCGTCAATACTTTACTATGTTTTTAAAAAAAAAATATTACAAATTAAAATTTAAAAAAAAAATACCGGCAATTAAATTAAAAATGATGATGATGATTGAAAACTTTTCAAATGACCAGTGTTTGTGTTTATTGTTGAATAAACTGGATATATTATCGGTATTTCTGGATCATGATGATGATTATGTTTCGGTTTGTTTTGTGATATATGATTTTTATCTTATTTAGCTGAGCAATGAAAATAAGTCATCTACAATTTTGATGTGTGTGTACACGTGTGTGTGTGTGTGTGTGTGGGTTTGTTGATTTTTTTTTAAAAATTTTTTCGGAATATTTCTTGGCACGTTGGTTTCTGTTTTGTTTTGTTTTGTTTTTTTTTTGGTTGAATTATTATTATGATGATGATGATCAGGTCAACAGGTGGTTGGTTTACGTGAATATCGTAATACAAGATATCCCATTAATCGAAATAATAATAGAAATAATAACAATATTATTGTATTGAACCATATTGGTAATGGTTTAGTATCTGGATTCATTAGATCTAAATTTGATTCCAATTCAAATTTTGGAATGTATGCAGATTTTTTATCCAATGATTGATTACAATATTGGAATTTCGATAACGATTCGGAACATCTAGATTTAAATGATTGTAGAAAAAAGATTAAGATTAAAAGGGCCAACAAACAAAAAACTTTAATTTTAAACTTACCTGAGATTTGTTCCACCAAATTCAATTAGCTGCATATTTTGAAATGCATAATAAATAATAGAAAAATAACGTGTCCATGAAAGCCATGATGGTATAGCTGCATAATAACCGGCAAATAACATTGTTGATAATGAATATAATGCCGAAATGGTAACGGAAACTTCAATATTTGAACACAATGCACCGATAAATAGGCCAAAACTTTGAGCACAAATTATTGATATGATAAGAAAAAACCATAAATAAATGGCCGTAATGAAACAAGTCCATCCTAACATTGGATATGATATGATAAAGAATACGGTTGGCAATGCAATGGTAAGAGGTAATTCCCCAATCATTTTAGCAATATAATATGCAGATAATCTATAAGCACCGGATGATCGTTCCTTATTAATAACTTGACGTTCAGGTGGGAATGATAATAATGCTTGAAATAGGCCAAATTGCATCCAATAAGTAGTGGCTGTTATTGATATAATAATAATAAAATTGTAGAAAAAACAAAGAAAAAATCTTACCAAAAAACATCCAACCACGAATATCATTCATTGTATCTTCTTTGCGTTCAATTTGAAACCAAAGTAATCCAACAACCAATGCCAGACCAATAGTTTGAATCCAATTCAATTTCGATAACATTCGATGTCGTGCTTCAAGAAAATTTCGTTCAGTCAATACTTTGACCTGTGTCCATAATGTTGTTGGCCATTTACGTTCCTTATTATTATTCGAATGTTCAATTTCACCATTTGCCATTATTTTCGAATGATGATGATTATGGTTTTTCTTCGTTTCACATTCATCACGAATATAAGAATTTGATGAAAATGTAGAGCTACGATCAGACCAAGATGACCGACCCGAATCATTATCGCTTGGAAATTTATGATGATTATAATCAGATGAATGATGATGATGATGGTGGTGGTGGTGGTCATCGTGATGATGGTCATCATGATGTGGATGATCATGAACATCAATGGTTTGAAGATCAATTTTTTTCAATATTTTCGGTGATTTAGGTAATTCTTTAGCTGCATCAATAATTTTCAAATGACAATCATTATCTTTAATTTTTTCCAATATAAATTCAGCTGGATTATAATGTATATTGATACAATAACCAATACGAGTGAAAAATGGTACAACATCATGTGTATTGCCAAAATAAGCCGATTGACCATTAGATAGTAGCAATAAATTATCCAACATGTAAAACATTTTCGATGACGGTTGATGTATGGACATGACAATCGTTTTTTTTCGTTTTAGGGCAAAATTTTTCAATATTTGTATCAATTTATGTGCTGTACATGAATCAAGGCCAGATGTTGGTTCCTATGAGCAAAATCGATTAACATTGTGATTGCTAAGCCAAAAATTTGATTATACTTACATCAAGAATCAAAACACTTGGATTTGTCAACAATTCACAGGCAATATTTGCTCGTTTCTTTTCACCACCTGATAGGCCACGATGACAAATGTCACCGATTACTAAAAAAAAAATGGAGGGTTTGTCGAATGAGAAAATTTAAAAATGAAAATAACAATAACATTGACTTACTTGTATTTTCACAATTTTTTAGCTGCAATTCTTCAATTATTTTATCAATCAATGTTAATTTTTCATTATTCATCATCGATTCTGGCAATCGAAGTCTTGCCGTATACTAATAATATTCATTGAAAAAAAACAAAAATTAATTCCAACATTTATGGATAGATGTCATTGGTTTTAATTTTTTTTCACGGTTTGAATTTAAACGAAAAATTTTCCCGCCCATTTTTTTTTATCCATCCACTTACCATTAATGTTTGTTTCAATGTAAGATTTGGAAAAAATATATCCTGTTGTAGTACATAACATATACGACGACGAAGTTGTTTATTCATCGATTGTCCATTCATTGATATATCACCACTGATTGATGGTTTTGTACGTCCACTTAATATATTTAAAAATGTTGTTTTACCACTACCGGATGGACCCATAATGGCCAATATTTGACCAGGGCTAGCATAGCCATCAATATTTGAAAGAATTGAACGATAATTTGATGATGACGATGATAACGTTGATGATCGGCCACCATTATTACAATCTTTTATACAATGATGATCATATTTAATTGAATGTGATATTTGTTTGAATATTAATTCAATTTCATTATAATTATTATTATTCAATGGTTTATGTAGTAGACCATCATCATGATGATGATGATCATGGACAACAAAATCATCATCAACTTGACAATCATCATCAATATTTAAAAATGTTTCATTATCATGATGATGATGATGATGATGATGATGATGATGATGATGATCATTATTATTCTTATTATCATAGGAATCAACATTAGCCATTATAATATGTTGCGTTGAAAACTGTGTTAATGGATCATCACAAATATCAATTGATGATTCATATGATTGATGATGATGATGATGGCGATGATGAAGATTCGAATTATTCATTTCGATATCACCGTTATTTGATGATGATGATGATGATGATGACGGTGATGATTCTTGATGGTCATGTTGTTGTTGTTCGATAAAATAAGACATTTTTCTGTAATTTGAAAAACGGAATAAATTCAAAGTTCACATATACACACACAAACAAACAATCGATATGTGTGTGTGTGTGTCGATGTACACCTCCAGATCAAATGATCAAAATGTTACTGGAACTGGAAAATTTTTTTTTTTTGTTTTGTTTTGTTTCTTTCGATGATTCGATACGAAGGAAGATTGTTTAAGGACCGGTCATTCAGTAATACACACACACACACATATACTCTACTACCCGAATGGTACCGTGATACACCTTTTTTTTGTTTGTTTGATGTTTTTTTTTCTTTCTTTCTTCACATTATATTTGGTGACCGAGTGACTCAGTGACCTTTCTGTCTCTCTCTCTCTCTTTCTTTTTCTTTCTATATCTTTATTTCTCACACACACCCAAAATACTCTCTGAATTGGAATTTCTTCTTTATATTCATTCAGGATGTTTTTGATTATAGAACTTTTGATAGAAATGAGAAACAAAAAAAGAGAGAGAGACTGTTTGTTTGATGATGATGATGATGATGATTATGTTTAGAAGAAACAAGATTTCTTTCTTGATGATCGAGGGTATTCTTAACAATGAAGCCAAGTTGGTCTTTGGTCAAACGACTAAAGTATAGCCACAGTATAACACAAAAAAATTATAATTATAATTAGCAAAAGATCAATGAGATCAATGAGTATTGATTGATTATAAATTGAATTCAAATTATAATTGATGATGATGATGATGATGTGAATTTGATGTTTTTTCGCGCGCGCACACACACACACACACACACAACCAAACAACTACACGCCAATGACCGAATTTATATATACATGTGTACGGAAATATGAATTCAAATGATAAAATACGGCATGGCATTTTAGAAGCCGGCTTACAAATACACACATTGTATATATGCAATGAATATAGAAGACATTTTGATCTTTCGGATCGCTGTTTTTTTTTGGTTGGGTCATATAAAAAAAAATTTGAAACCTACCAACAAACACACACAAATACATTCATACATTCATACATACCATATATGAACTACTAGTAACCGAAATTTCTTTCTTCCTTTTTTTTTGTCCATAGGGCCAGACAGATAAAATAATATGCATATGTTTGTGTTTCTGAAAATGTTGAGAATGTTGGCAATGTATAGAGATCAATCAACTGGTTGCAATCATGATGGTATAGTATGATCATTGTTGGTGGTTATAAAAATGACTGCGGTTTACACAAACACACACACACACACACACACACACACACATTTTTGGTAAATGGTTGATGATGTTGATGGCAATGGGGTGGTAGTGATGGTGAAAGGCGGTAGTAGTAGGAGGTGGTGGAGGAGGAGGAGGAGGGATATAAATTATTTGAATAGGAAATTTTTTTTTTTTTGTTGTTTTTTATGATGGTGGTAAAAAAAAAGGACAAAGAGAAGGATCAATGTGTGTGTGTGTGTAAGTGTGTGTTTTGAGAAAGAAAAAACCAACCAACGAAAGGCCACCGAGAAAGGTCAAAATGAGCCACGCGAGATCCGAAAAAAAAGATTTTCAATCAATTTTTTTTTGTCATTTTGGATCGATGACATTTGCAAACAAAAAAAAAAAACGAATTTTTTTTCAATCAGAATTCACAGAATAATTCTTTTGATGATTCGAATCGATTGTAATGACAATAATCGATTGTTTAATCAAACGATAGTGTATATGGTTCTATATGTTAAGTTTTTTTCATTCCATTTTCCCTCTCTCTGTTTCAGGTCATTGTCACCGGGATAGATTTAAATTTTAAATTTAGAAAAAAACTAAAAGAAATGACCATGGACCAGTGTGTGTGTGAGAGAGAGATGTGTCAGGTGTGTGTCTACATATATATCATAACGATGATGATGAATATTAATAATAAAATGACCTAAATGACATCGGTCAGCCGGCCAGCCGGCCGGCAATCCTGTCAACCATAGACAATAATCAAGAAAAACCTTGAAATCCATACACACAATTGTTGGTGACAAAAATGTTTTTTTCATATTTTTTTTTTTCTTTGATTTGACTTTATTTATTTTTTTTTCTCACTCGTTTTGTTGTTGTTGTTGTTGTTGTTTTGTTTCATATATTCCAGATGTAAGATGTATACACGCAACCAGATCGATCGATCGATCGATTCATCTATCCATCGATAACAATGTGTGAAAAAAAATTTTTTTTTTTTGAAAAGAAAAATTCATATTTATAACCACAAAATCATGGACAATGGTCAGTGATGATGATGATGATGATGATGACCTCGGTAGGTCATGAACATTGGCAATCGGTAATATTGTTGTTGTTGTTGTTGTTTGATGAATGATGTCATCGCGAAAAAAAAATTATAATCAAATATAATAAAAAAGAAGAAGAAGAAAACAAAAAACGGCAGCTGATCATCATCATCGTCGTCATAAGAGAGCGAGAATGAAAGAAGAAAAAAAATTGACTATCAAGGTCTTATGCTGACCAATGTCCAGATATCGATATTTTTTTTTTTTTGTCAATGAAGATCGATCAATTGCAAAATTCAAAATCGAATGTTTTTTTGTTTTGTTTTGTTTCGAGTTGTTTATGTGACCGGTGTGTGTGTGTGTGCTGTTATTTACGGTTGTTGTTGTTGTTGTTGTTGTTTTACAATGGACAATGGACAACAACAACAACAAAAAACGAAAAAAAAAATTTCTTCAATCAAGCCGGACATTTGTGGATATATTGGTCACAATTTCAGGTCATTTATAAGGTTCATTTCATTCATCAAAAAAAAAAAAACGAATTGAATTCATTCATTCATTCATTCATATAATAAGACAAGCCTCTTGTGTGTGTGTGTGTGTTACAGTGGCCAAAGACGATTACTATCGATCGATTATGGTACGTGTATTTTTTTTTCTAGTTTACCAGGTCAAAGTGCATACACACAAATCTTTCATTCTTTCACTCTCCTTCTCTCTCTCTCTCTCTCTCCCACTTTCTTTTTTCTTTGTACAACTAATAATATTTTCTTCTTTCTCTTCCGATCATCATGATTATCATCATCATCATCATCATCATTGTGGTGATATAAATCTAGAATTTTCTTGTGAACAACGATAATTTCTCAAATGGCCATTATTATTATTATTATTATATGGAACAATCATAATAAATAACAGAAACATTTTGGTTTCATATATACGTATATTATATATGGATGTCCATTGCTGTCATTTTCGTTAACCGCCACCGCAGGTGTAGTACAAATTACTACACACACACACACACACACATGGTCTGCCAAAAAAAATATTATAACGATCATCATCATCACCACTTTTCATTTCATTTCAATTCATTTCATCCATATTGCAATCCAATATCTTATACATACATGTGGCCAATATTTCGTGTACATACACATCTTGGTTGCAGATTTGAAATTTTTTTTGTTTTGTTTCTGTTGGTACCAAGAACGGAACAAACCAACGATGATTATGATTATGATGATGATCATTCAGTGGTTGATGTTGACGATGATGTTGATGATGTCAATGGCCTTCTTTTTTTTTTGCTTTTCAATGAAGGTCGACCTATGTTCTGTTCTGTTCTGTATTTTTTTTTTCTCGGTTCCGACGTTTGAAATTTGTTTCAACGACGTTTGTTGTTGTCGTTGTTGTTGTTGTTGTTGTTGTTGTTGTTGTTGTTGTTGTTGTTGTTGTTCAAACCAACCGAATAGTTCATTTTTTGTTTCGTCTTCATCATTTTGTTGGCTCATAGAAATTTGCCTAGCGGCAATTTTTTTTTCTTCTTCTGTGTTCATTTATGTCAGCGATTTCCAACGACGATGATGATGATGATGATTAGAATGGCTAGAACCAATATGTGTGTTTGACTGTATTGCATGTGATTTGTTCACTTTCTTTTTCATTTTTTTTAGGATTTAAAATTTTTTTTTTTGTTTTGTTTTGCTATGGCTTCTGTCTTTTTTTTCTGGATCGATCCAAAAACGGTATGTATGTGTGTGTGTGTGAATGAATAAAAAATAAAAAACGAACGAAACTGGACAAACAAAATTAATTCACTATAAAAGTCAGTCAATCACACACACACACACATGCACAATCGGTCAGTTTGAATATATTCATGTGAATCATGATTGTTACTGGCTATTCAAATTGAAATTTTTTTTTCCTGGAATTTTACAATTTATCGTCCTGATCATCATTGTGATCTGAATCATCCCATAATAGTAGCAACTGTCGTTTCCGCGACCTATATATATCCCTAGAGGTCTCAATGTTGATATTTGAACTTTGGTATATCGAATATTTGCATGTATTCGACAGGAAAAAAAAATAATATTCATGGCTAGAATGAATGAATAAATGAATGAATGTGAACCAACGAAACAAAACAAAAAAAAAATTAGGCCAATCAGCCACATCCCAATTTAAGGTAATATTTCGCTGGTATGCCAAAATGCGATAAACGAAATGGAAAACCAAAAAAAGAACAAAAACGATTCTGAAATTGCCAAAAAAAAACACAACACACACACACAAGGTCCAGATTTTTT